AAAAAAAAAAAAGATTTGCATTTCTCTTGTTATGAGTGAAGCTGAACATTTTTTTTCACATGTTTAAGGGTAATTTTCACTGCTTTTTTCTAAAAACTACGTGCATGCTTTTTCTGCATTTTTCCTTTTCTTTTTGTTTTGGACATGGAATCTCACTCTGTCGCCCAGGCTGGAGTGCAGTGGACTGATCTCGGCTCACTGCAATGTCTGCTGCCTGGGTTCAAGCGATTATCATGCTTCAGCCTCCTGAGTAGCTGGGACTACAGGCACATGGCAGCACACCAGGCTAATTTTTGCATTTTTAGTAGAGACCGGTTTTGTCATGTTGGCCAGGCTGGTCTCAAACTCCTGACCTCAAGTCATCTGCCTGCCTCAGCCTCTCAGAGTGCTGGGATTACAGGCATGAGCCAAGAAAGGCAAACCTTACCCACACTGAATTAAGTTTCTCACCTATCAGATTGGCAAAAATTCAAAAGGCTGACAACACACTCTCTGAGACTGTGGGAAAACAGACATACTCATACACAGCTGTTCTGGTGCAAACTGGCACCTCCCCCATAGAAGGAAATTTGGCACTATCCACCAAAATTACAATGTACACATTCTCTAACCTTGCAATCTCACTTCAAAAGATGTATCTGACAGATATTCCTGCATATGGACAAAATAATGTGTGCTTACTGTAAGACTGGGTTTAAAAAATGATTTACTTATGAGATTATTTATTGTATTAATGTATTTACTACAGTTTACTATAAGGTAAACTTTACTTATTGTTAAATTATTTTTAATAGTAAAATACTGGAAACATCCTAAATGTCTATCTGTTGGTGTTTGGTTGAATAAACCATAGTTCATCTACATAGTAGATGAAAGTATTTTTAAAGTAAAAAAAAAAAAAAAATGAAAGCTTTTTATAAGTTGGTATAAAAATTTCGTGGCTGAGCACAGTGGTTCATGCCTATAATCCCAGCACTTTGGGAGGCCAAGGCAAGCAGATCGCTTGAGCCCAGGAGTTCAAGACCAGCCTGGGCAGCATAGTGAGAACCTGTCTCTACAAAAACCACAAAAATTAGCTAGGCGTGGTGGTGCACTCCCTGTAGTCCCAGCTACTTGAGAGGCTGAGGCAGGAGGATCCTGCAGGCCTGGGAGGCAGTGGCTGCAGTGAGCCAAGATCATGCCACTGTACTCCAGCCTGGACAATAGAGTGAAACCTCAAACCCTGTCCCTTCCAAAAAATTTTTTTCTCGAGAAAATATTGTTAAATGTAAAGACAAGATGCAGAACAGTAAAAACAACATGCTACCTGTTTTTGTAAGAAAGTCAGAGAAATAAGAATACATACTTATTTATATTTTCTTTTATTTGCATAAACAAACACTGGAAAAAAAACAGGCCTGTAATCCCAGCACTTTGGGAGTCCAAGGTTGGTGGATTGCTTGAGTCCAGGACTTCAAGAACAGCCTGGGCAACATGGCAAAACCCAGTCTCTATAAAAACAAAACAAACAAAAATTGGAAAGATTCACTAAAGTGGTTCTCTACAAAAGGCCAGTAGGGAGGTAATGGGCTGGATGGTGACTTGCGTGTAAGCAAGACTTCTAAGAATGAAAATTTTTATATTGAACCAGATGAGTATACTGCCTATACAAAAATGTAAATTTAAAATATCAGCTGGCATGATGGCTCATCCCTGTTCTCACAGTGATTTGGGAAGTTGAGGCAGAAGAATGACTTGAGCCTGGGAGATTGAGGCTGCAATGAGCTATAATCATGCCACTGCACTCCAGCCTGGGCGACAGAGCAAGACCCTGTTTCTAAAAATAAAAACTAAAATCTGAAAAAAAAACAAATAGGGCCGGGCACGGTGGCTCACTCCTGTAATCCTAGCACTTTGGAAGCCAAGGCGGGCAGATTGCCTGAGCTCAGGAGTTCAAGACCGGCCTGGGCAACATGGTGAAACCCCATCTCTAAACAAAACAAAAAGAAAAAAACAAAAACAATAATAGGACAGGTACAGTGGCTCACACCTCTAATCCCAGCACTTTGACTTTAGGAGGCCAAGGCAGACGGATCACCTGAGGTCGAGAGTTTAGACCAGCCTGAACAACATGGAGAAAACTTGCCTCTACTAAAAATACAAAATTAGCCAGGCATGGTGGCAAACGCCTGTAATCCCAGCTACTCAGGAGGCTGAGGCAGGAGAATTGCTTGAACCCAGGAGGAGGAGGGTACGGTGAGCTGAGATCCCACCACTGCTCTCCAGCCTGGGAAACAACAGTGAAACCCCATCTTGAAAGCAAAACAGAACAAAACAAAATAAAACAAAAAACCAGTAATAATACCAAATATAGTGAGGATGCCATAAAATTATTACACACACACATGTTCACACCCTGCCTCCATCCAAGCAAGTGTCTTTCACTGCCAGCATCAGAAGTCATTCTTCAATTAAATTTTTTCTTTAAATCTTCAGGAACTCTGCTGTGTACTACAAGGAAACATGACATCTGGACAGTGACTAGCACAGTAGCTTGAGAGGCTGGGGAAAATCTAGGTGAAGATGGGTGAAATCTAGTTTTGACTTTTCTTTTAAGGCTCTTTTTGGTGGGAGACAAAGACCTTAATCTTCAACTATAGAAGCCATAAGACCAGACACTTGTTTTTCCAGCTTCTTTGCACGTAGAACATGGGTAACTAAAATACAGGCTTGGCCAATCAACTGCATCTTGCCCAGATCTGAATTGGGATCTTGTGTTGCAAAGAATCCTTTCTAGGATCATGAACCACAGCAAGGGCGCCATCCAGGTTCTGGGGCAGTAGAGATGTCCTGGAACAAATGTTAGAAAGTCCAGGGCTGACAGTGGTTGAGCGGTGATGTGGCATTAAGTACATTCACGATGTTCAACCATTGCCACTATGCGTTTTCAGAATTTTTTCATCACTCCAAAGAAAAATCCCTCACCCATTAAACAGTAACTCCACATTCCTTCCCTCTAACCCTTAGTAACCTCTGTTTTTTTTTTTTTTTTTTTTTGGGAGGGGGTTTTTCACTTTTGTTGCCCAGGCTGGAGTGCAACGGTTCAATCTTGGCTCACTGCAACTTCCTCCTCCCAGGTTCAAGCGATTCTCCTGCCTCAGCCTCCCAAGTAGGTGGGATTACAGGCATGTGCCACCATGCCCGGCTAATTTTTTTGTATTTAGTAGAGATGGGGTTTCACCATATCTATCAGACTGGCCTCGAACTCCTGACTTCAGGTGATCCACCAGACTTGGCCTCCCAAAGTGCTAGGATTACGGGCATAAGCCACCAAGCCCAGCCACTTCTATAAACTTTCTGTATGGATGAATGTGTCTACTCCAGGTACCTCATATAAGTGTAATCACATGACATTTGTCCTTCCGTGGCTGACTTATTTCACTTAGCATAATGTTTTCAAGGTTCATCTATATTGTAGTATGTATCACCATCTAATTCCTTTTTAAGGCTAAGTAATATTCCATTATATGAATATATCACATTTTGTTTATCCACTCATCTGTTGATAGGCCCTTGGGTGGTTTCCATCTTTTGGCTCTTGTGAATAATGCTGCTGTGAACATACAAGTATAGATATAGGTTTAGGCCACTGCTTTCAATTCTTTTGAGTTTATACCCAGAAGTGGCTTGCTGGATAATATGGTAATGCTATATTTGCCTTTTTAAGAAACTGTCATACTATTTTCCATAGCAGCTCATATTTTTATAGCCCCACCTGCTGTGAACCCCGAAAATCTGAGGCAGGTCTCAGTTAATTTAGAAAATTTATTTTGTCAAGTTTGGGGATGCAAGGCCCATGACATACCCTCAGGAGGTCCTCACGACATGTACCCAAGATGGTCAGAGCACAGTTTGGTTTTACGCGTTCTAGGGAGACAGGAGACATCAATCAATATATGCGAGATGTTCTGGAATATGCAGACAATTGGACACAAAGGTAGGACGAAGCCAAAGCCAGGAGGGGGACTTCCAGGTCACAGGTAGATAAGAGACAAATTGTTGCATTCTTTTGAGTTTCTGATTAGCCTCAAGGAGACAATCAAATATGCATTCATCTCAGTGAGCAAAAGGGTGACTTTGAATAGAATGAGAGGCAGGTTGGCCCTAAGCAGTTCCCAGTTTGACTTTTCCCTTTAGTTTAGAGATAGATTTAGGGGCCCCGGGATTTATTTTCCTTTCACACTGCAATATATGAGCGTTCCAATTTCTCTCTTACTTTCACCAACACTTTGTAAAAATAATGGCTACCCTCATAGGTATAAAGAGGTATCTGGCCAGGTGTGGTGGTACACGCCTGTAATCCCAGCAGTTCGGGAGGCCGAGGTGGGTGGATCACCTGAGGTCAGGAGTTTGAGGCTAGTGTGGCCAACCTGGTGAAACCCCGTCTCTACTAAAAATACAAAAAGTTAGCCAGGCATAAGGCGGGTGCCTGTAATCCCAGCTACTTGGGAGGATAAGGCATGAGAATTGCTTGAACCTGGGAGGCAGAGGTTGCAGTGAGCCAAGATTATGCCATGGCACTCCAGCCTGGGCAAAAAGAGTGAAACTCCATCTCAAAAAGAAAAAAGAACAAGAAGAGGTATCTCATTGTGGTATTATTACTTTTTAATGCATGAACCTCACAAAGCAAGAGATGTACACCTAAGCCCATCTGACCCTGAGTTTTCCACTCCACATCCTGGCCCTTCTGAGGCCCAAGCACATTAAAAAAAAAAAAAAAAAAAAAAAAGCAGACTTTCGGCCAGAACCACCATCTTCCTGTAATCTGCCAAAATGACGAACACAGAGGGAAAGAGGAGAGGCACTCGGTATATGTTCTCTAGGCCTTTTAGAAAACATGGAGTTGTTCCTTTGGCCACATATATGCAAATCTATAACAAAGATGATATTGTAGACATGAAGGGAATGAGTACTGTTCAAAAAGGAATGCCCCACAAATGTTACCCAGCGTTGTTGTAAACAAACAAGAGCAAGATTCTTGCCAAGAGAATTAATGTGCTTAATGAGCACATCAAGCACTCTGAGAGCTGAGATCGCTTCCTGAAACATGTGAAGGAAAATGATCAGAAAAAGAAAGAAGCCAAAGAGAAAGGTACCTGGGTCCAACTGAAGCGCCAGCCTGCTCCACCCAGAGAAGCACATTTTGTGAGAGCCAATGGGAAGAAGCCTGAGCTGCTGGAACCTATTTCCTAGGAATTCATGGCATAATAGGTGTTAAAAAAAAAAAAAAAAAAAAGACTTTTGGTTTTTTTTTTTTTTTTTTTTTTTTTTTTAATGTTTCCCCAGAATTGCAGGACTTAGCTTAGATATGCAGTCTTTGGTGTTGAATGCCATATATCTCATTTTCGGGATTTGCCAAATTGCATCCTCTCTTTCCAGAAATGCAAAGTACTCCTGAATCATCTTTCAGCCCAGACCTCAGTGTAGAAGAAACCCTTGGCAAGAAGGAGTCTATGTGACTTGGTCCAACAGCGTTTCCCCCACACTTGGTATCAGAAGCTCTTCAGCCATGGAAGTGGTAGGGGGAGAGTGAAACCACCGCTGCAAAATTGTAACTGAGACAGTGAAAGAGATCTGACTTAACCAACTCCATCTTGCTTCTAACCTCCAATGTGTCCTCATTCTTTCCTGGGGATAGGCTTAACTAACTCTGGGGAGGAATTTAGTTTGTAGTTTAGAACAGAGAAAGTAATAGCCTTTTCCCAAAATAAACCCCCTTCTTGCCTGGAGACTTGTCCTGCCATTGTCACACAGCTGGAGGCTACATGACTCCCCAAATTGGGGAGTACATCACTATTGTGGTGGGATATAACATCACTATTGTGAAGGGAATAACATCACTATTGTGAAGCCTAAGATCAGTGCTTGAGATATTTTGCAGACCCTGCACTTGATGGATCAGCTGGCACCACCCAGATCTATAAACTGACTCATCTGATCCCATGGTCCCCACCCAGGAACTTACTGGACATAAGACAGCTTTGACTCCCTATGATTTCATCTCCGACCCAACTAATCAGCACTCCTGACTCACTGGCTGCCTCCCCTACACCCACCTACCAAATTGTCCTTAAAACCTCTGATCCTCCAACGCTCAGGGAGACTGATTTGAGTCGTAATAAAACTCCAATCTCCTGCACAGCTGGCTCTATGAGAATAACTCTTTCTCTCTCGCAATTCCCCTCCTTTGATAAATTGGCTCTGGCAAGCTGAACCCATTGGGTGGTTCTATCTGTCTGAAATGACCCAAGTTCCTTCACTGAGACATGCACAGCTAAAAAGACAAATCCCAGAACAGAGCAGGCTGGTCAGTGCCAGGAGTCCCCAAAGGGAAAGACAAGATAGTTGTCTTTGCTCCAATCCTGACCCACATGTCCATATTCTTAGAGGACTCTGGAGGGATTCCTTTTAGAGCCATGTGGGAAACTTCAGGACTTAAGGGCCTCTCAGCTCTACCCAAGCACTACACTGGGTGCAAGGTCTTCTCAGGAGCCAGCTCTGTGCACAGGACAGCTGAGGCCAAGGCCAAGCAGAAGTTGAGGGACAGGGGAAATTCCTAAATGCAGCTCTCTGAGAGCTTCTGCTCACTCTGGCACCAATAGGCACATGCATGACCAGACAAGCACTGCAGCCTGAGGACTAAACTCTGGTTTTTTTAATATTACCCAAATACTTATTGAAGGGGTCTGGGGAGTCATGCCCTACAAATTATAAATTCTCATCAGATGGATTTTATTTAACCCTATATATCATTATTTCTTTTTTTTCTTTTCTTTTCTTTTTTTTTTTTTTTTAGACAGACTCTGATCATTTATATTTAAGTCTGGATGGCCGTGACGTGATCTCGGCTCACTGCAACCTCCGCCTCAGGTTCAAGCAATTCTCCTGCCTCAGCCTCCTGAGCAGCTGGGATTACAGGCATGTGCCACCATGCCCTGCTAATTTTTTGGTATTTTTAGTAGAGACACGGTTTCAGCATATTAGCCAGGCTGGTCTTGAACTATTGACCTTATGATCCGCCAGCCTTGGCCTCCCAAAGTGCTGGGATTACAGACATGAGCTACTGCACGTGGCTATGATTTACTTTCCAACCTGACTCTGGCATAACATTACAAGGCAAGGAAGAAAATCAAAATATTTTACCCCAAAACATGTTTCTTTGCCATATTTTGAAATGGCCCTGCAAAGCTGTTCTTTGTGGGGGGAAAAGTTGCCTCTGTAAAGAATCTCTATTAATATAGCTAGACATTTTTCTTCCAGACCCTCCCAATCCTACAGAGATTAAGATCTGAATAGGAAACATTTGTCATCTAAGGGCAGCCACTATAATACTTAAAAGAACTTTGGTCTCCACAATCTTTTACCTTAACTTGAACATTCCCTTTCTATCAATCCCAGGTCTTTAGACAAAATCAACCAATTGTCAACCAGCAAATGTTTAAATTCGGCTGGGCAGTGCCTGTTGCCTGTAATCCCAGTACCTTGGGAGGCCAAGGTGGGTGAATCACCTGAGTTCAGGAGTTCATGACCAGCTTGGCTGACCTGGTGAAACCTGTCTCTACTAAAAATAAAATCAGCCAGTCATGGTAATCCCAGCTACTCAGGAAGCTGAGGTGGGAGAATCCCTTGAGCCTGGGAGGCAGAGGTTGAAGTGAGCCCAGATCGTGCCACTGTACTCCAGCCTGGGCGACAGAGTGAGACTCCATCTCAAAAAAAAAAAAAAAGAAAAAGAAAAAAACTGTTTCAATTCACCTGTAGCTTGGAAGCCCCTGCTTTGAGTTGTCCCAGCTTTCTGGACCAAACCAACGTATTTCTTAAGTGTATTTGATTGATGGCTCATGCCTCTCTAAAATGTGTAAAAGCAAGCTGTGCCCTGACCACCCGGGGCACATGTTCTTGAGACCTCCTGAGGACTGTGTCACCGGCCATCGTCACTCATATTTGGCTCAGAATAAATCTCTTCAAATATTTTACAGAGTTGATGCTTTTTGTCAACAAATGCTTCTCACTTTCCTGGGGCCCAGCTCTGGGGAGATTCATGGCTTACTTCTGATGCTTTTTCCTGTCCAAGGACCTCCCGCCCAGATCCTGCAGTCTTCCACTTTGCTCAGGTCCCAGGAATGAGTCTTACTCTTGTTATGAGGCTCAGAGGTGCCCAAGGCTCACATCCAGGTTCCTAGATCGCAGCTGCTTCAGGTCATAACCAGAGGCAGGGGCCAGAAAACTCATGCCAGAGAGAAATGCACTTCAGCTTTCTTCCACGAGGTTGAAAACAAAATACTCAAAGATCCCCAGGCCTGGACTCTTTCTCATGGGGAAATATCACCTCTGTGCAACAGGTCTAAAGTTCAGAAACCTGATCCCAAGGAAACTATAGTTCAGGCCTGGGCTACTGGGCAGAGGGGCCCAAAGCTCCAATTTTTCTTTTCTTTTTCTTTTTTTTTCTGAGACAGGACCTTGCTCTGTCATCCAGGCTGGAGTGCAGTGGTGTGTGGCGTGATCACGGCGCACTACAACTTCCACCTCCAAGGCTCAAGGGATCCTCCCACCTCAGCCTCCCAAGCAGGTGCACCACTGTGCCCGGCCATGCATTTTTTGTAGAAATGGGAATTTGCCATGTTGCCCAGGCTGGTCTCCACCTCCTGGGCTCAAGTGATCCTCCAATCTTGGCCGGTCAAAGTGCTGGGATTACAGGCATGAGTCACTGCACCTGGCCAATTTTGCTTTTCAGTTAGTCCTGGGATTTGCAGGGTAGGGTGTTGTGATTAAAGAACTTTTAGGTGTTTGGACTCTGGGTTCTGTAAAAGCAAATAATATTTTTGTTTGGGGTCCCCTTTGCTCTAATTTGGGCTTTTCCATTCAGTATAGTCTGAGCCACAGCTGAAGCACGGCAATGACTGTGCTGAGAGGAGGAGCACAGAGGGGAGCTGAGGATGGTGGGAGAGGCCAACCCTCAGACCAGGGGCCAGATCCCTGACCACCCCATGCCCAGAATCCCACTGCAGGCATTTTGGGAAAATAAGCCTCAAGAAGGTTCAACTTTGATATTCACTGTACTTTTCTAACTGAGTTGTCCTACAGGCAAGTACATGTTTTTAATGTTGTCTGTCTTCTGCGCTCTTCCTGTAAGTTTGCTATTAAAATACATTAAGCTATTAAAAACAAAACAAAAAAAGGCCGGGTGCAGTGGCTCACACCTGTAATCCCAGCACTTTGGGAGGCTGAGGCGGTCAGATCACCTGAGGCCAGGAGTTCGAGATCAGCCTGGTCCAACATGGTGAAACCTCATCTCTACTAAAAATACAAAAATTAGCTGAGCATGGTAGTGGGTACCTGTAATCCTGGCTATTCAGGAGGCGGAGGCAGGAGAATCATTTGAACGGAGAGTTGGATGTTGCAGTGAGCTGACAGATTGTACCACTGCACTCCAGCCTGGGCAAAAGAGAAAGACTCCCTCTCAAAAAATAAAGTCCATGGTTGGGCCTGATAGTTCATGTTTATAATCTCAGCACTATGGGAGGGTAAAGTGGGAGGACAGTAATATAGTTTGGCTGTGTTCCCACCCAAATCTTATCTTGAATTCTCACGTGTTGTGGGAGGGACCTGTTGGGAGGTAATTGAATCATGGGGGCAGGTCTTTCCAGTGCTATTCTCATAATAGTGAATAAGTCTCACAAGAGCTAATAGTTTTAAAAAACACAAGTTTCCCTGCACAAGCTCTCTCTCTTTGCCTGCTTGCTGCCATCTTTATAAAATGTAACTTGCTCCTTTTTGCCTTTCACCATGATTGTGAGACCTCCCAGCCATGTGGAACTGTAAGTCCATTAAGTCTCTTTTTGAGAGGTTTAAAAATCCTCTGTTGCCCAAGCTGGAGTGCAGTGGTACAATCTTGGCTCACTGCAAACTTCACCTCCCAGGTTCAAGTGATTCTCCTGCCTCAGCCTCCTGAGTAGCTGGGACTATAGGCACATGCCACCATGCTCAGCTAATTTTTTTGTATTTTTTGGTAGAGACGGGTTTCACTATGTTGGTCAGGCTGGTCTTGAACTCCTGACCTTGTGATCTGCCTGCCTTAGGCTCCCAAAGTGCTGGGATTACAGGTGTGAGCCACCCTACCTGGCCTAAACCTCTTTTTCTTCCCAGTCTCCAGTATGTCTTTATCAGCAGGGGGAAAATGGACTAATCCAGTAAATTGGTACCAGTAGAGTTGGGCGCTGCTGAAAAAATACCCAAAAATGTGGAACTGACTTTCGATCTGGGTAACAGGCAGAGGTTGGAACAGTTTGGAGGGCTCAGAAGAAGACAGGAAAATATTGGAAAGTTTTGAACTCCGTAAGGACTTGATGAATGGCTTTGACCAAAATACTGATAATATGGACAATGAAATTAGGCTGAGGTAGTCTTAGATGGAGATGAGGAACTTGTTGCGAACTGGGGCAAAGGTAACACATGTTACGTTTTAGCAAAGAGTCTGGCAGCATTTTGCCCCTGCCCTAGAGATTTGTGGAACATTGAACTTGAGAGAGATGATTTAGGGTATCTTGTGGAAGAAATTTCTAAGCAGCAAAGCAGTCAAGAGGTAACTTGGGTACTATTAAAAGTATCCAGTTTTAGGTCGGGCATGGTGGCTCATGCCTGTAATCCCAGCACTTTGAGAGGCCAAAGCGGACAGACCATCTGAGGTCAGGAATTCGAGACCAGCTCGGCTAACATGGTGAAACCCTGTTTCTACTAAAAATAAAAAAATAAGGAAAAAAAAAGCATTCAGTTTTAAAAGGGAAGCAGTACAGAAAATTTGCAGTCTGGCAATGCTATAGAAAAGAAAATCCCATTTTCTGAGTAGACACCCAAGCAGCCTGCAGAAATTTGCATAAGTAACAGGGAGCCAAATGTTAATACCCAAGACAATGGGAAAAATGTCTCCATGGTGTGTCAGAGGTCTTCATGGCAGCTCCTCCCATCCCAGGCCCAAAGGCCTAGGAAGAAAAAGTGGTTTCATGGGCCGGGCCCAGGGTCCCCATGCTGTGTGTAGCCTAGGAACTTGGTTCCCTGTAGAGAGCCAGAGTGACCCACCTCCTCTGGGGGAATCACCAGCAAGGACCAGCAAGGCTGCTGTGAACTTTGGGTGAACTCCAGAGAAGCAAAACCATAATAGGGGAATGTGTATGTCTCGAAGAAGAGCAGAGAGGCCTAGAAAAAGGTAACCAGTTCTCACTGACCTTGCTGCAAGATAGTTGTTAACTGAAGTATGTTAACTGAAGTATGAGAGTTGTAACCACAGGCTGTTCTAAGTAAGTGCACCCTCCCTCTGCTATGTGCTTTGTGAACATATAAAATAAAGTACTCTAAGGCAGGTCGGGGCCAAAGAGACTGACATCATCAGCTTTTTGGACTGCCTGGCCCAGCTTTATATATGTCTGTCTGTATGTATTTCTTTATCCCCTGTTATTCCCTCTTAGGTCTTTGAACCCTTGTGCAGCATGGGACGCAGTGCACACCAAAGTGCCCTGTGTCCCAGCTGCTCCAGCTGCTGCAGCCCTGGCTGAAAGAGGCTAATGTAGGGCTTGGGCCATGGCTTCAGGGGTGCAAGCCCTAAGCCTTGGCAGCTTCCACATGGTACTGAGTCTGCCAGTGCACAGAAGTCAAGAACTGAGGTTTGGGAACCACCTCCTAGATTTCAGAGAATGCATGGAAACTCCTGGATGCCCAGGCAGAAGTTCACTGCAGGTGCATAGCTCTCATGGACAACCCCTGCTAGGGTAGGGCAGAAGGGAAATGTGGTGTTGGAGCCCCTACATAGAGTCCCTACTGGGGCACTACCTAGTGGAGCTGTGAGAAGAGAGCCACCATCCTCCAGACCCCAGAATGGTAGATCCACCAAGAGATTGCACCATGTGCCTGGAAAAGCTGTAGACACTCAATGCAATGCTGCCCATGAAAGGAGCCGGAGGGAGGCTACACCTGTAAAATCACAGGGGTAAAGCTTCCCAAGACCATGGGAACCCACCTCTTGCATCAGCATAACCTGGATGTGAGACATAGAGTCAAAGGAGATCATTTCGGAGCTTTAAGATCTGACTGCCCCACTGGATTTCAGATTTGCATGAAGCCTGAAGTCCCTTTGTTTTGGCCAATTTCTCCCATTTGGAATGACTGTATTTACCCAATGCCTGTACCCCATTGTATCCAGGAAGCAATTAACTTGCTTTTGATTTTACAGGCTTATAGGTAGAAAGGACTTGCCTTGTCTCGGATGAGACTTTGGACTGTGGACCTTTGAATTAATGCTGAAATGAGTTAAGATTTTGGGGGACTGGTAGGAAGCATGACTGGTTTTCAAATGTGAGAGCATGAGATTTGGGAGGGGCCAGGGGCTGAGTGATATGGTTTGGCTGTGTCACCACCCAAATCTCATCTTGAATTTCCCTGTGTTGTAGGAGGAACCCAGTGGGAGGTAACTGAATCATGGGAGCAGATCTTTACCATGCTGTACTCATGATAGTGAATAAGTCATGAGATCTGAGAGTTTTTAAAATGTGAATTTCCCTGCAGAAGCTCTCTCTCTTTGCCTGCTGCCAGCTGTTTAAGGCATAACTTGGTCCTCCTTGCCTTCCACCTTGATTATGAGGTCTCCCCAGGCATGTGGAACTGTAAATCCATTAAACCGCTTTTTCTTCCCAGTCTTAGATATGTCTATCAGCAGCATGAAAACTGACTAATACAGATGGCTTGAGGTCAGGAGTTTTAGACTGCAGTGAGCTATGGTTGTGCCACTGCTCTCCAGCCTGGGTGACAGAGGGAGGCCCCAATTCAAAAAATAAATATATAACAATTTTTTTTAAAATGTCCATGAGAACTTTTATTAAGTCACCATGGCTGGCCAAAAAAATTTTTTTATAAAAGCAAAAAAAAAAAAAAAAAAAATTGGGGAAAGGAACAGAATAAATATACAATAAGGGAATAACTGATGAATTACAGTATATCATCTCAATGGATATTATGCAATGATTAAAGATTCATAATTAGGAAATCTTTGTGGTATCTGTTGAAAAACACAAGTGCAGTAAGTAGTCTATAACTATATTATAATATGAAGTTACAAGAGCAAAGTAGCTGGTTACATCCTCAGATGGATTCCAAGAAAGGGATGATGAGAAACATGGTATCCAGGCCGGCGTGGTGGCTCATGCCTGTAATCTCAACACCTTGGGATACCAAGGCAGGCAGATCACTTGAGGTCGGGAGTTCGAGACCAGAAAGCACACTTGCAAAAAAGGGGCTGACGGGGGTGTGGTATTATAAGTGATTTTCTTTTTTAAAAACACCATTCATATCCTTATATTGTATTTCCAATAAGAAAAGGGAAGGCAGAAGTGAAGCAGACACTTTCCTGAGGTTGGCTGCCAGGTGACAACTAAACGTCAGTTCCCATTTTTGTCAGGCAACACGGCTCACTGCGGTTTTGAAAAATTTTTTGAATCCTCTGCTGGCACTTTTTATGTGGTTACATTCTCAGTTTGGGCTCTAAGAAAGGGGTGATTAGAAACGTGGCATCCAGGCCAGGCATGGTGGCTCACACCTGTAACCTCAGCACTTCGGGAGTCGAAGGCGGCGAATCGCTTTGAGGTCAAGAGTTTGAGACCAGCCTGGCCAACATCCCTGTCTCTACTAGAAATTACCTGGGCATGGTAGTGCACGCCTGTAGTTCCAGCTACTGGGGAGGCTGAGGCAAGAGAATCTCTTGAACCCGGTTGCAGTGAGCCAAGATCATGCCACTGCACTCCAGCCTGGGTGACACAGGGGGAGTCCATCTCAAAAAAAAAAAAAGAAACATGGCATCCAAATTCCAGGAGGCCTAGACAAACCTGTCCAATTTGCCTGGAAACCATTACTTGGGTTTGTAACAGTTGGTTTCATGGGAATATCTAGAATTCCCACATTTTTCTATGTATTTAACAACCACTAGATGCTGCTCTAGGCTGTGGTGTGCCTCCCAAACAGGATAGTTTGCCTTTCCACCTTCCTGGGGGCAAATTATAAATGTTAAAAATGTTTTGTGTTAAAACACACTTGTGTGCTTTTTTTTTTTCTTTTTCTTTTTTTTTGAGACAGAGTCTTGCTCTTTCGTCCAAGCTGGAGTGCCCTGGTGTGATCTCAGCTCAGTGCAACCTCTGCCTCCCAGGTTCAAGCGATTCTCCTGCGTCAGCCTCTTGAGTCGTTGGGATTACAGGTGCATGCCACCACACCTGGGTAATTTAGTAGAGACACGGTTTCACTATGTTGGCCAGGCTGGTCTCAAACTCCTAACCTCAGGTGATCCACTCGCCTTAGCCTCCCAAAGTGCTAGGATTACAGGCGTGAGCCACTGTGCCTGGGAGATTTGTGTGCATTTTTATGCAAAGTAAAGCCTAGCACCTTTTCTACACCTTTACTTACTTTCTCTATTAAGTAGATTTGAGCAGGGAGTTGGAACTAAGGTCTACTGAATGTCATCTCTGGGCTAGGCTGTTTTTATACATTTTTCATGTAATCTCTATGTTGAGTATCTTCTGTTTGCCCCTCCAGATTGGCTCTCCACTCAACCCCCATAAGCTGAGGTTTTGAGAAAGTCAGCATTGGCAAGCTCCTTCCTCCTCTGGCTTCCCCTGGCACCAGCAGGAGGTGACAGGCCAGAGTTGAGTGCAAGGTCCCTGGTTCCCTCTGCAGAGCCTTTACTGACTGGCTGTGGGCAGCACTGACAGTTCCATTTCAATACAGGTGTGCCCTGCACACAGTCTCTCTGTCTCTGGGTTCTGAAAACCATTCCCCTTGCTGGCCCCTTTATGCCCAGGGGAGGCAATGGTCCTATTGTTCCTAGTCCCGGAGCACTGGAGTACTGCACTATCCCTCCTGGTTACTCTACACCTTACCCTCACCTTTGTAAATAGCCCTTTTATTAAGCTGTCCTCAAATTACCCAATCAAGGGTGTCATCTGTTTTCTGCAGGACCCTGACTGATTGGATCCCTAAAGAGATAATGAGTAACTCATCCAAGTTTGAGTGTTAGTAGGTGGCATAACCAGGCTTGGAAACAGGTCTGTCTGCATTCAAAGCCCATGCTTCTTTTGCCAAATCAGATTGCACTGCCCAAGAAGGAGCCGGCCTGAGGAGCAAGCAAGTTGGGCACCTGAGATGAGATCCAGCACTGGGAATAGAAAATGAGCTCTGTTTGTGCTCCGTGCCCCAGACCACAGCATGCCCAGGGTCTGTCCCTATGTCTGTCTTTGCTAAAGTTAGTGCGCACCCTGCTCATTATTCAGCTGTCATTGCATTTGCCTGGGAAGACTTCACTTGCAGAGCCCAGAGCAGCCAGTTTAATGGCTCCTGTGGTGGTTTTTAAAACATGTCCACATGTCCTTGGAGATTCGCTATATCAACAGTGGAGTCTAAGGCCGGGAGCGGTGGCTCACGTCTGAAAACCCAGCACTTTGGGAGGCCGACGTGAGTGGATCACCTGAGGTTGGGAGTTCGAGACCAGCCTAGCTAACATAGTAAAA